CTCTCTCTCTCTCTCTCTCTCTCTCTCTCTCTCTCTCTCTCTCTCTCTCTCTCTCTGGGGGATATTTCGAACCTAACATTTATCTATTTGTTTCACGCGCGAACGTTTTATTATCTCTTTCCCTCCCGCTCTTATACGTATACGAATTAGAACTTTCAAGTATTCGAATATTCGAGATCGGTTCTCAGCCAAATTTGGATTCAAATTAAAATAAAAATACGGATAAATAAAAAGATTGATTAACTTAATAACAAAATTATTCAAAATAATTATTATTTGAACACAGTAATAGATACAATCCTCTTAGATTAAATCGCCGAATTGCGACTGAAAAATGTTGACTTATTAATTGCTAAATTTTCGAAAGGAATCTGAATTGCTGCAAACATACTTGTTTCATCGATTTCTCTCAATCCGGATTCAGTTTCAGTGCTTCAGATATCTTAAAAAATGCGAATCCTCAAATAATCCAAGCTCGACACATCACACTTATTTATTATTCGAATAATCGGCTATCAGAATTGTCAGATTCATAAAAATATTGAAGCTCCTTTATTTTGAACTCTATTTTGTCCGCGAAAGTGCCTCTAAAAATAGCCATAAGTCTTTCTGATCGGCCTCTAAGAATCTATAAGCCACTTGCAGAGGTAGTTGACATCAATGAAAGCAAGTTGAGGGAGACCCGCGACAGAGCCTCGGGCATGAGCCGTGTCTTCTAGAAGAGGGAAAAAAATCTTGTCAATGCGCACCGTGTCCGGCGGTACTGGACTTTTTCCTCAGCGCGCGAGGCCGAGCACCCTCCGAAGGCGCGAGACACCCGCGAAGGCCCAGAAACGCATCCGGCGACCGCAGCCACATATCCTACCTTGGCGAACCACCGATCCGCTCCGCTCCGCGTCGGCTGGCCGGCTCGATTTTACACGGATCTCTCGTGGGGCCGCACGTGCATGTGCTGTAGCCGCGTTGCGAAAGAATTATGCGGGGCACAAGGTCCGGCCGTTCGCTCGCCGGTCGAATTTTTACCGAACGAAGGTTACGTTTCACAGCTAGGTCTCACCGTTCATGTGCGCACACAACGCCCCTCCGCTCTTCCTTTCCGCTCCTCTCTCTCTCTCTATCTGTCTCTCTCTCTCTCTGTCTCTCTCTCTCTCTCTCTTATTCTATCTCTCTCCCCCTTCTCCTCTTCCGCGCTCCTTCTCCGAGTGCACCGTGTACTCGACCCTTTCGCCCTCCTTCGTTCTCCCTCTTTGACGCGGACTTTACGATCCGTGAGTCACAACCGCGCGAAGAAGTTGAGAGAGAGAGAGAAAGAGAAAAGAGGGGGGACCGAGGCCCGGGATGGATTTCTGCACGCGGATTTTTCGTCGAGCGAATTCGCAGACACGTGTGCGAAAATGCATTGTCTTAGCGTAAACGACGTTAACCCTGAGGGATAATTTGAAGGAAGAAGAAAATTGTCACCCTCGCGATCGACGTGAATAAATCTCCACGCGGAGGAAGCGATTTCAATTCGGGTATGACTGGGTGACGGAAGCAGGCGAAAAAAAATTTCTCGCTGACGAGAAATAATATCTCTGTCATTGTGTGACCGAATATTCGTCAACTGGTCCTCGAAGTAAAGAGAAAATTCAGTTACACTGACGGACTTGTTCCTTCCGATTTGCCACGAGATAAGATTTCTTTTTACGTTTGTCGCTCTGGAATTTACGTTTCCCTTCTGTTCGAGGTAAGGAAATTTTTGGGGGAAATCTCTGGGGGCAAGCTGGTGCATTTTGGTCGCCACTTTCCACGTTCGATTCAATGTCGAAGGGGGTCACACGAATGTTCTCGAATGCTCGTAGTTTCAATGACAGCCGGCACTTCCGCGACTCAACCGGAGATTCGGTTTGGATAGTCCTGATTTCCGTTTCGCCGTCATCCCCTCCTGCAGGCGAGATGATGGTTGACAGCGACGATGATGAAGACGGCGACAGCGACGACGACGATGACGATGACGACGACGCTGACGACAAACGACCGGCACGACGCGGAGGAAGAAGAAGAAAAGAGAGACGAGTGTTCGGTGAAGCCTACCGACCGGCTATTTGGAACACGGCCGATCAGTTCCTTCGGCGCCTTCGCACCGTGGACGCGGACACGCTAACGTCCTTTGTCGCCGATTTCAAACTCGCGCTTCTCCCGCGAACAGAGACCGGCGCGGTATATAAAGAGACAGCCGAAGAAACCCGCGAAAAGTCGCGCGACGCGTGCTTTTCGGATTGTCGCGATCGCCCTCGCAGAATCCCCGGCGAGATCTCGTGTGGAAGTCGTCCGCGCAGCAGCGATCGATCCTTAGGGGATGTCTCGTCCGACAATCCGGGGTGGTTCATGACAGAGCTCGCAGACGATCGATTTGTCTCGTGGAAAGAACTCGCCGACGGTACTAGTAAGTTTTTCCAGTGATCGATGACACTGGGAGAGAGAGAGAGAGAGAGAGAGAGAGAGAGAGAGAGAGAGAGAGAAAGAGAGAAAAAAGAGAAAGGGAGAGAGAGAATCGCGAGAAGACGGTTTTGCATTTCGACTTGTGGAGTGTTTGCGAACGAGAAACGCGAGCTACGAAATCAAACGAGTGCGAAATCAAACTGTCAAAATGTGTTGTTGGACTTTTGATAACTACCCTTCGGTCGTGAGACAACTTTTCTCACTTCTCTCTCGTGGTGTCTTTTGACAAAAACTTGGTCGCGATGTAACGGGGCAGACGAGCAATTTCTTCACGCACGTCCGAGATGTCGAATGTTCAAAGTATGATGGGGGATTTCTTTTGCGTCGCGTATTATTGTGTGGAAAGCAACGTGACGCGCGATTAATCTTACTCGTGTGGTTCTTGCGTTCGCTCTTTTTGCACATTCAACTACACTCCTTCGTAGAATCCATTTTAACAGACCAGGCAAGGAGGTTACGCGGAGTTTCGCCTTTTTCCGGTAAGGTCACCGGTACGCACAGAGGCTCGCCATATATTGCCATTAGTATAATTAACCCAGATTTTCCCGGATTTATGGTGAACGCGCGCGCGCGCGCGCGCGCGACAGAGTCGGGTCAGAGCCGCGCGCTGCGCGTTATAACAGACTGCCGACGATTGCCTTCAACTGCGAAGAAATGGCAAAAAGTCGCCTGTGTTGTAATTACGCAATGTTACCAAGCTGTTAATTAATATCCGTCGCGCCTAGTAGCGCACGCGGCTCTCGAGATTAGTGATGTTATTTCTGGGTAAGAAGGCTTAATTTGCAAAGGAACTTTAAAACCCTGAGTCGAAATTTTTATCATCATTCTATTTAACATTCTACTTTGATATTCTGAAGTCTATAATACAACCTATTTTGACGCTAAAGAAAGTGGAAACAGAATTTTCAAACATCATCAGAGTCAAAGTAGAAGTAAATTGTATTGTTAGAATTAAACCTACTTTGCTCTCTCTAACTATAACTTAGCTTATACTGCATTGTAGAATTATAGGAGTTTATTATAGAGCCAAAATATCGACTTGGGAACAGACAGTCTTCGCAGCGCAGTAACAAGCTCTAATTAATTAATTACCGCTATCGCTAATTATGACTATCGATTGATCCAGAGAGCAGCGTTCGGTTAAGTCATCCGAGTTAATTAAAGATTGAAGAAGACGAGCGCAGAGCGAAAATTGCATCTCCACTGTCGCGTTGTGTCAAAAATTATTTGCGCTCGCAGACACAAGCGAGATGTGAAATTATGATTCTCGAGAGAAATTCGCGAATGTACGCGCATGACGCGGCACTTAATATATTAACCGACACTGCGACGGTTATGTCCGGCATTATGGACGTTGTGACACACAATACGACGTTTATAACCGTCAAAGGCATTTTATGCTTTCCTTCCGTTCTGCTATTCAGGCCGCCCTGACCTCTGCATTTGCTCGGCATACGCGTTGTAGATGTTGTTTCTTTTCACAGCGTGAAAAACTGTCTCCGGATTACTCGCAGAGCGAGCACGCTTACTATAAATTGTCTAGGATGAATACGAGCTATTATTTTTCTGAAATTGTATTATATAACAGTAAGCAAAGGAACTCCCAGCAAAATTTGGGAAAAATATCCGATCAGAAAAATTAAAGAGAGAGAAAAATTGCATGGAGAACATTTTTGGTTGGATTAGCCAAATTTCTGGTGAGATACGAACAAACAAAATTCTGGTAACAATTCAACTGGAATTTCGGGTCTGTTCATATCTCACCGGAAATTTCGCTGATCCAACCAAACTTTCTATTCCGTGTAAAGCCCGGAAAAATACGAAATAAAAATATCTGGCGTTCACAAAGTAGATCGTCGACCGGCATCGTCTATAAGCGCAATTTTTATCAGATTTGTGATTATCGCGAGATTGCTATTTGTTTAGGGCAGCTTTGCGACAATCAACGACGGCGGCATCATGTCGGAGGGTTGCACGAGTTGCAGAGGGGCGAATTATGCGGGTGGCACTCTGCAGCAGTTGGGCACGACTGCCGGTGGCAACACCGGAAGTTCGTCCGCCGCATCTGGAACGGCCTGTACGACCACGAGGAGAGTCCAGGTGCGGGCGAAGGTGCTCTACGGCACGGGCAAGGCGATAGCGAGCTTGCAAGCGCAGGAGAAAGCCGCCCGGCACTGACCAGGTAAATTGACAGTCGCACGGGAAAAATTATTTTCGTACCTCGAACTAAAATATTTGGCACGCACGATTTGTCGTTGATATTACCATCTTGTTGCTGTGCCGAGTACACTGAAAAAAAAGTACTTGAAAATCTGTGCCACTCTGGAATACATTTTATTTTACACAGAAACTTTATTTCGCAGAAGTAAACCTTAAATCCCATAAATAAAGTTTCAATCATTTCTCTCTCAGTGTAGGATGTATCAGTGAGAAAGTTAAACACCCATGCGGCAATTGAACTTTTCGCTTGCAATTACCGAACGTTTGGTCGCTAACTGAGCTCCTACAGCGTCGTAGAATTCAAGATTTAACATAGAGCCAAAATTTCGACTCGGTCCGGAGCACCAAATTCGCTCTTAGTCAACAAAATCCCGCTTTCAGTGTGCACGCGCGAGCGGCACGACAACGCGCGGGTCGCGCGAAAACTTCGCAAGTCAACGGAACTCTCGGTCGCATGGTCGCGCGGACGTACAGCCGAGTGCCGAGTCCCCGGCGAAAAGTAGGACACGAGCGCGAACTTATCAGGTCGCCAACAATTAAAGGCCAACGACCAGTCCGCGCGAAAGACATTGATCCGTCATCGATGCACTAATCAACATAATCCGTTCCTTCCGACTCATTTAACGACCGCTCCCTTCCCTCCGCTCCCCTTCTCTCTGCTTCTCTCCCTCCCTCTCTCCCTCTCTCTTTCTCTTTCTCTCTCTCTCTCTCTCTCTTTAATATCCGAGAAACCGTAAACGCTGTCGGACAATTACAGGGAGCTCGGTCTCCCGTCATCCTGTTGCGACACATACGGACCGCGGGGCAGAACATGACGGAGGACAGTGGCCGACCTCGTCCACGGAGCCACGCGATCAAGCGGCCAGTCGAAAAATCATGAGATGACGCGACTCCAGGCGGCATAACAGTAAAAATATCCAGAAAAAAACGACGACGCCGGTGAATAAAAAACAAAGTCCGTCGCCCGCAGGCACCGTCCTTCTCCGAGAATAAGACCAGCCGGCCGACCTGGCCGCCGGTTAGTACCTGGTTAACCGTCCTCGAGAAGGCCGCCTCGATTCGACGATCCGCACGTGCGCGTTTTCGTCCTTAACTGTTCTCCTTTTCCTTCTTGCTCCTTTTCGTTCATCTCGCGCCCGTCCATTCCGCACGACGGCCTTACCTCCGCGTGAATATCGCGCCGACGAGCATGCACCGGCGAGTGTTGTGAGTGCAACCAGCGACGTGTCGCCGAGCAAAATGCGCCTTGCAGCCTTGTGAGTCGATATATCGGTAGTAGTTAGTTACCGTCTCGCGAATTCGCGCTGTCGCGAACGTCGCGAGCGAACCTCGCGGGCGATTGTACACGTTAAATAAAAGGATTTTCTTGTCGAAACAAAAATTTGGCACTACTCGACGTCATAATTTCATTAAAATGGAATCAACTAAATTGGTTTTGGAAACCAATTTGGTTGGTTGAAAACTAAAACATGTCATCGCCGCTTTGTGTCTCTTGCTTTCTCAATAATACATGTACTTGACAAAAAACTCATTAGGATTCAGAGTGTGTTTCGAATAAATCTGTTGTTTATGATGAACTTATGGTAGATTTGTGCAAAAGTAGAAACTTATGAAAACAATATCTGGCGCAAACAATGTTCACTTAAATTTTTTTATGTGTATGTATCATTCGTCGCACTCCTCGACGTCATAATTTGATTAAAATGGAATCAACTAAATTGGTTTTGGTTGGTTGAAACTAAAACATGTCATTGCCGCTTTGTGTCTCTTGCTCTCTCAATAATACATGTACTTGACTAAAAACTCATTAGGATTCTGAGTGTGTTTCGAATAAATCTGTTGTTTATGATGAACTTATGGTAGATTTGTGCAAAAGTAGAAACTTATGAAAACAATATCTGGCGCAAACAATGTTCACTTAAATTTTTTTATGTGTATGTATCATTCGTCGCACTCCTCGACGTCATAATTTGATTAAAATGGAATCAACTAAATTGGTTTTGGTTGGTTGAAACTAAAACATGTCATTGCCGCTTTGTGTCTCTTGCTCTCTCAATAATGTACTTGACACAAGTAAAAAACTCAGTAGGATTCAGAGTGTGTTTCGAATAAGTCTGTTGTTTATGATGAACTTAGATTTGTACAAAAGTATAAACTTATGAAAACATCTGGCGCAAGTAATGTTCACTTGAATGCAGCATTTTTTCTATGTATACGTATCGTTCGTCGCGCACGATTCAAAATCGAAAGATGAATCGCCTCGTGCGATATTAGCCGACAACGATTAGCGCCGAAATTTGGAATTAATTGACACGCCGATTACGTGGAGCGTAAGCCGGTATTTGCCCGAGGATTAATCGAATCGAGCCGAGATCGGCACATTGAAAGGCCGCGTGCACTTTGACGCAATTGCATCGACATTTTCAATACGTGTGTTCGTTATTAAAATTCCCGAGAATTTTCCCAGAAAGCCAACAAGGTCAATATGATTTCTTTATTCCATCATGCCTGCGCCGTGGCACAAGTCGTGGGGTCCCGTTACGTTTCTCTTTCTCGATCCTAACGCACCGCGTGCCAACAGTATCATTCGGTTTCGGCCCATCCGCTCGCTCTTCCGTTTTATTACTTTAATACCTCGCGAACTATCGCGACGCAGGTCATTGACCGTTCTTAATTCGCCCGATGCGGTCGGTCGTCCGGTCAAACTCAGAAATGTATTCGCGCCCGTATCAATAGCCGAGCGGGGCCCATTTTCACACAACGCATGAAATATCACGACTTTTATACACGCAGCAGTGTGTAATTAGTTCTTAATGTCACGACATCGTGACATTCAATTTACATAATACACCGCGATAGCGGTATTGATGCTCGCGGTGCATCTTCGGTGTGAATCGACGGTATCATAATAGCGAATGATAGCGCCATTATCCTGCCCAAGAAAAATAGAGAGAGAGAGAGAGAGAGAGAGCACAGTAAATACTTATTGAAATAATACAATACGTGAGAAAACGCGCAGGAAAGAGAAAGTACTTGCGCGTAACGCGATAAACGGCTATTCGCAAGTGTCATATCGCGAGTGTGAATGAAACACTCGTGTTTGATCAAGCGGATTGGCCTGCGATAAGGTCAATGTCGTGGGAGGAGGGGAGAAGGGAAAGACATGTTAAATAAGTGTCATTATTGGTTTTCACGTTATTACGTGCGCATACGAGCGATATCGAAACACACGTCGCGGAAAATTAAATTTGTTATCAGAATATCGCGTAAAACTCTTCAAACGCACCGATAAAATTTTATCGGCGCGGACGTTGACATTTGGATGCAAGATTTTTCAAATTATTGAACATTTCACAGAATGAATATTATGGTTTTCTCTCATATAAATCTTTTTCCATTTGTTTCTTTAACAGCGCAAAAGTAGATTGTCACAGACGAGTCACAGTAAAGTCACAGATGGATTCATATATTTAACGTCTTGTTTGCATAATTCTCATAATGTAACAATATAACAAGCAATTGTTATCTTATTTGTTAGCGTGATCCTCTCTCTTCTCTCCTGCGCGTTGTCATCGGAGTCGAGGGATGAAAACGATAGAAGGGAATCCTACGCCAGGCCGCAAACATCGAACCTCAAAGTTACAATCTCCGGACGAGTAAGGACGAGTAAGGACGAGCGATCGCTTTCCACGTCAACGGACACTACGAGGAAAAGAGTAAATATTCCATCAGACTACAATCCTTTAACCCAAGGTACCCGGAGAACCGAGGCAAATATCACTAGGTATCCTGTCGAAGCAACGCGCCCCAAGTACGTGCACAAGTCGCCGCTGGAGAGAGAGACAGAGACAGCGACGGATATATTACAGCCGGGAGATTCCGACGAAATCACGTACGTTGCCGCGAAAGGGTCGAATCAGACGCGAGATGGAATCCGACATGAATTTTTGAACGCATCGCGTATTTCCGAGAGCTCCGTCGTAACGAATCCAGTCGAGAGAGAAAAAGAAGACCAAGTGGGAGATGAGAAAAATAAAGGGACGGAAAAAGAGTTCACTCGCCAGGAGGAGCCTTTCTCGAGCGTATCGCTGAGGAGCGCGGGTGACGTCCAAGGTGACATGACGAAATGGTCGACCAACGTGAAGAGTGACGCGCCACGAGAAGCGGAAGTTCCTCGGGCGCGAAATGATAGCGCCGCGGCGGGTGAGGATTTCGACATCGGTGGCGTCTCTTCGACGGGGGTGAGTTTCGTCGAAGAAAGCCCGAATCGACTGACCGTCGTACTCGATCCGGGAATCGCAAATCACCCCGTGGAGAGTCGCACCGACCAGGAAGAGAACTGGCAAGTCGGAGAAGACGATCTCATGGAGGCTGCGAATTTCGGACTACAAGCCATGCACAACCTCTATTATGTTCAGGAGCCCAAACTGTACTCAATGGGTAAGCGCTGAGAACAGACGAGTCGAATCGTAGGGAAGAACACTTCACTTTAATCCTTTCGCTACCAAGTTCCAGTGGAAATACTTCCACTTTATTATTATATCGTCTCAGTGATTTTGGACAATGGAAGTAAGATTTCACTGTAAAATCTGTACGCTGAGACAAAAATATCTGAAGAGTAAAAAATATTTTTTCAGTGGGTACTATAATATAACACATTGACTTAAATCTAAATTCTTTTATTTAGATAAAATATTGCTTTCGTGAAAAGCTGAGATTCCAAAAAAATGTATACTTTTTTGTTGGAAAAATATTTCATATTGATATAAATAAATATGTTATTAGTATCCACTGAATCAATATTTTTTTTATTTCTTAGATACTCAATTTCTTTCTCCCTCAATGTAATATACAATTTTGCTGCCAAATCACAGGTCTCTATCTGAAAAGGGACGAACCGGCGAGATACGTGGCGGCGTTTAACGATCAGTCGGAAGAAGCGAGGAATTTGGCGAGATTCGGGTACGCGACTCTTCAAGGCACCGCTATGTATCTGAAGAAGTAAGTTTCCGGCTGGTAACGGTAAGCTCGACAACGCCGATAACGCCCGATTGTCTCTCGCGCGGGGAACTTTGTGTCTATTTCTGCTCCTCAGGTTTCCCGGCGCGCCGTTAGAATTGCCTTTATCCCGGAGCACTCGAAGAACCTCTTTGGAGCAACAATGCCCGCGACGAGGAACACCCCAATGCCCGCCAGCCAGTCTGAGGTACAGGACCTCCGACGGTAGCTGCAATAATTTGCAGGATCTCTGGTGGGGCTCCGCGATGTCTACGATGCAGAGGTAAAGAGAAATAAATAGTGAGCGCGGCCGCGAAAGTTGAAAATAATTTTGGAGCCCCAAAAATATCGGAATGAAAATTTCAAAGGTCGAAATGGAAATGCGAAATTTTCGAAACGTCCAAATTTCGAATATCAAAATGACGAGGAGAAAACGTGCCCATCGATCGCGTGCAAAAGATTTTGACGACCTCGTAGATTCCTGCCGGCGGTATATCAAGACGGCGTTCAAAGCATCAGAAGGTCGACGAGTGGAAGGCCCCTCCCAAGTGCGCGAGACATCACGGGCCTAATCCACGAGGATCAAGACGTACCTCTGGCTTCCGTTACACATATGCTGATGCAGTGGGGACAGTTCGTGGATCACGATTTGACAGGTGTGTCATTAGCGGATCTACTCAATTCCCTCTTCATTCGCGCACTCTTCTGCCTCTTCAAGAGAGAACGTGTAATTATATTTGCTGTATCCGCAGCAACTGGACAGAGCAGAGGATTCAACGGCACGGTGCCGCAGTGTTGCTTGCCGAGAGGTGTCGGCTTCCAACCGCCGGAGTTTATGGTAACGAGCGAAACACAATTGTCTCTCCAGTCATTTCGCGTACACGCGATTTCCAAAGGAACTACAATCCCCTTACGTTCTGTCAACCGTCGCGCATTAAATCTCCTGTGTTTTGACGTAAGCGACGCGTTAAATCGCGAATTCACGCGACTGCCGACCTACTTTTTACTCTCGAAGAAGTTTGCGTTTTGACCTGCGCCCCCTGCGAGCAGGGAGGAAGGAAGGAAGGAAGCGCGGTATTGTACTCGCAATGAATGCCCGACAGCACCCGGAGTGTCTGCCGATCGCGGTGAATCTACGCGACAGCTTCTACGGTCCCCTAGGCGTGAGATGCCTGGAGTTCCTCAGAAGCGGCCCAGCTCCGAAGGAGGGTTGCGAATTTGGCACGAGGGAGCAATTGTCCCAGGTGACCAGTTACTTGGACGCCTCAATGGTTTACAGCAGTAACGCCCTGCACAGCGACAGTCTGAGGCTATTTCGAAACGGTGAGTGTGCCTCGGACGGTTTCTCGGGACAAATAAGTTAGAAAGAGAGAGAAACGGAAGTAATCTCTCTCTCTCTCTTTATTCCACACGAATCCGCGCTTCTAAACGCACCCTCCCTCTCTCTCTACTGGCGATTGCAGGCTTGCTGCAGTACGGAAAAATTCAGTCGCGGAGACCTATGCTACCAAAACACGAGTTCGATCTGTGCAAACTCGGATCCCTATCGACAACTTGCTTCCGTGCCGGCGACGGACGTCTCAGTGAGCAACCGGCCCTCACATCCTTGCACGTAGTCTTCCTGAGACTGCACAACAGGATAGCCACGGAACTATCCGCGCTCAACTCCCACTGGAGCGACGAGAAACTTTTTCAAGAAACCCGAAGGATCGTCGGCGCCGTGGTTCAGCATATAACTTATCGAGAGTTCTTGCCGATCATTCTTGGTGAGTGAACTCCTAGTCCTCTTCTCCGCCTCCTACGGTCCGTATGTCACCGATCGACGATGGTGTATTAATAAATATTAAAAGAAAGCGAACGTTCCACGGACTAAGAGCACCGCGGTATAACGTGTTCCAGGTCCCCAAGTGATGAAAATCTTTGACCTGGAGGTTCTGAAGAAAGGCTACTACGAAGGCTATGATCCGACCGTAAATCCTAACGTCGCGAACGCTTTTTCCACGGCGGCTTATCGATTCGGCCACTCGCTGGTTCAGCGGACCTTCGTGAGATTCGATAGCAATCACAGGCCTCTGCCTAACAGTGAGTGAGATCAGAATTCTTGCGAAAAGCTCGCACGCTACTCGAGACCGACCATATAACCATTTATACGATCTTAGAAAGGCAGAGAGGGAAATGTTAATATTTTAGTTATTTGTACAAGCAGTTATTGAAAATGTAGAGTAAAACACCCACTTATTGACACCCTTTTAGTCATAGACACTCTAAAGAGAATTGATTTTTCATGCAACCAACGTTAAACTTCTTGTCTGCACTCTATGACTCTTATCCTGAATTCTCTTCTGTCGATAAAAGAGCCTTTAAATGTGGCTGAAAGTAAAGCTCATAAACCGCGTTTAGAGACATTTTTGTCGATAAAAGAGAGTTCAGAATAAGGATCAATGATTCGAAAGACGAGGTTGGCAGCCTGTTGAAATTGGAACTACCGAATGCCCGCAGAATCAACGATATGCTTCGGGACATAAAACCGAGACATAGCAAGTTGAAAATAATAGACTAAAACTAAGAAGAAGAAGATTTCAAAAGAAAACTTCACAACCAAGATTATAAATAACCGCTTCTAGTCGTAAGAAAAATCAGGCCACACTGGAACTGTGACTAAGGGACTATGATTAATGACTAAGGGACATGAATAATTGGATGTTTTACTCTATACTTTAAGAAGAGAAATACACACACACACACACACATGTAGAATTATAAACATGAATACGAGACACGCGCGATGCAGCGATCCACTGCGTCGCAGTAGCGTATACGATTAGCTGCTCGTTGACCTCGCGAGAGATAGCATTCTCGATGTTTACAGCATAACTGCGCTTACATGAAACTTCATGAAGTCAAATATTACTAAGAAGCATCTCTCTCTCTCTCTCTCTCTCTCTCTCCCTAAATACAAAATCAAACAAATATCATCGCAGATGTCTCGATCCACGAGGAGTTCAGCAACCCAGCGAACCTAGAGACCGCGGGCTCGGTCGATCGTCTTGTCCTAGGTCTGGCGAATCAACCGTGCCAGCGGAGGGACGAATTCATAACGGAGGAGATGACGAATCACCTCTTCCAGACTCCTGGCTTCGCGTTCGGCATGGATCTGGCCTCTCTCAATATTCAGAGGGGCCGGGATCACGGTCTGCCGCCTTACGTGCGATGGCGCGAGCCCTGCGGCTTGTCGCCGATAAGAACCTTCGAGGATCTCGATACGGTGATGTCGCCGAGCATCGCGCGAAAATTCCGACTGCTCTACTCGTCGGTGGAGGATATCGATCTCTTTCCGGCCGGCTTAGGGGAAAGGTCGGTAGTCGGCGGCCTGGTCGGGCCTATTTTCGCCTGCATAATCGGCCAGCAGTTTAGCAACCTGCGACGCGGCGATCGATTCTGGTACGAGAACCCCGAAAGCGAAAGCAGCTTCACCGCCGGTCAGCTGCAGCAGATACGACGCACCACTCTAGCGCAGGTATTGTGCAAAACGATGGACGCCATCGAGACCATACAGCCGTTCGTCTTCCTCGCGGCGGACACGCTGAAGAACCGACGTCTCGCGTGCGACGATCCGGCTATCGGCCAATTGGACCTCGAATTTTGGGCCGAACGGCCGTTCGAGTTTAGATACAATGTCCGCGATCCGCAGGCGAAGGTGAAACGAACAGCGAGCGACGTAAACGATCCCGCCGTCTCCAGATCAAACGTGCAGAGCGCGAATACGAGAAGGAAGGTACTCAATGGTACTCGGGAACAGGCAAAGATCGCGCCACCTGAGCAGCCTTTCAAAAGCAACATCCACCAGAGCAACAAGATCATCCTGAAAAAACCCATCGGACAACGGCCGGACAACCTGACGATCTGGGTGCAGAACAACGCCGTGAACTCGCCCGTGTTCGTGAACGACGGTATCTATGGATCGAGTATTAGGCTGCAGCAACAGTCTACCGCCAAGCCGACCTCCGCGTTTAACCAAGGCGCGAGTAATTATCTCCCGCATCGACCGCCGGCGAAGCCCATACCGACGACGATACCGCTGCACTCGGGTTACCCGTATGTGCCTCAGGCATACGACGACCCTAACAATCCGAATCCGCTGGCTTACGGTTACAAGTCACCTACGCAAGGCGATGTCTTCTACGACAACTACTCCCCCAACAACCCCAGCAGCCCCAGGCCCACCCTGTACACTTATTACACGAATTTCCAGCAGAGACCGACCACTCAGACGCCGAATCGCGAAGTCAACGGCTACCTGATTAACTACGGACACCCGCATCACGAGCACGACTCCTTTCCGGCGCATCACACGTACGAGAAGCCGGAACCTCAATTGGTAAACCTGGGACATCCTTACGGATCGAGTGCCGAGCAGGGACCGAGTCCACAAAGGCCGAGTTACAGCGACGCCAAGCCGTCGGCGACGAACGTGCGGCCAAGCTCTAGACCGAATTACGCGTCGAACGACGGGACGTATCATAAACCAGGTTACGACGGGGTGAAGCCTCTGACGATCTCGCGGCCGAATTTCGGAACGACTCACGGTGGATCGAGCGACGAGTTGTATCACGGACAAAAGCCGAGTTACAACAGACCTAGACCGACGTCGCCGAACACGTCGCGACCGAACGAGGAGTCGTATCACACACAGAAACCAGTGCACAGTGGACCTATACTCGTGCTGAACTCGCGGCCGAGTTCCACGGCGAATTACCAACCGTACAGCACACAGGGACCAGCGACTACCGGAAATTCACACTTACAAAGCAACTACAACAACTTGAGCAACCGACCGGGCGAAAGTTACCCCGCTAATTCGTACAAACCGCAGCATGTAAATCAGGGGAATTTGAACGGCTATCAGGAGAGGCCCGGCGAGAGACCGTACGATTACGACGATCCCGACGCGTATCAGAAGAGACCTAACGTTAAGCTGCAAAGTGGGCCTTACACGAATCCCGGGACGAATGTCCCTTCTCATGAAAAAGACACGAGTAACTCATCCCCCGCGTACTCGCAAGGATCCACTGCGAGTGACAATTACGGCAAGTATCCCGATACCAGTCTGGCCTATCAAAGCAGACCGACGTCCACTCAAAGCAACTGGCCAGGAGTCTCGTCTGACACAAAAGAGAGCAGTGCTCCGTCTTTTGAGCTGCACAGTTCCCCGTTCTACCAGAAACCGACGACGGGTCGGCCTGTCTATCAGATAAGTGGTCAGTCACAAGTGTCGCCCTATCAGAAAGAATCGATCGACGCGTCCCTTCCTTCCGCGAACCCATACGAAGAGATCAATTCTTACGAAAGTCCCGGCAATCCAGCCGCTTTGGGCGAGCAATCACCGTACAGCATCCATCAGCAGAATCAACCAACTCCGGCTTCATATTGGCCCGAAGTTTCGACGGTCGACTTCCACGTGCATAAGCAGACAGGAAAGCCCAATCCAAAGCCAAGCAAGGTGCAGAGCGTCACGATCGTCACCGAAGCGATCGAAACTGTTCATAATCCTGGTCATTCCGGATACATAGATCAGTACAAAGTCACCAGCGAGGTGCCAAGGCCGTTGGCGCAGCAAACGAAGAACAATATGCCGGTTACCAGGAGACCAGGACAATATTACTACGAGAAGAACGTGCTGCATCGATACCCGGACGAAGTGGCCGGCCAAATTCTCCAGAGAAATTCTTATTCAACCGACAACGTCGCCGAGAGGACACCGGTTCAAGATCGAGGACTGCCGTCCAAAAAGATTGTCGCGGAAACGACCAGCGACGATTCGATCACCGATGTTTCCCCGCCGGATTCTAAAACGGTCGAACGCAGCGAAAGCAAAGCGATAACCACGACGATGCTCACGCTCGCGATCACTGATTACAGGGATAATAACAGGGATGACGTGGTGGACGACCTCGAAGGCGCTTTCGCGGCAGTTGTCGAGAGCGTTGCATCGACTGACGTTCCCGACAGGTACTTTTTTTCAATTCTATTTGCATGAGTAATCGTTCTACGATTGCAAGGTGATCGCTGCTCCTACGTGTCTTGCGCAATCGATCGAACAGACGGGCGATCGAAGTCTGTTTCACAAGGAGTATGAAACGCGCGTCGGTGTTTTCAACAGAATTATTTTGATTTCTCATAGAATTGCAAATTCAGTCATATCAATTGAGTAACTCTGCTCCGTATTAACAGTCATTACTCGAAACTCAGGTGAGACACTATTAATAGTTAAACAGTAACAACTGAAGAGGCAAATAAGGAGTACAGCACGGATGTCTTAGTGCTATTAAATACTAATATTATATAATATTAATATGATAGTGGGGGGATAATTATGTCCAGCATGTCAAACGCCCGTATCGAAATTTTTCTTCGATTAACGTACGCGGAGGACCTGGCGGAGGCAGTTTTTTCGCAACATATATAACGAATCTATTTGAGTCATCGGTTTAATGGGTTTTGGGAATTTTAAATATATGTATAAAATTGGGACTCAAGAATCGGTCTAAGTATGGAAGGTAGAATCGGTCTAAGTATGGAAGGTAGATTTACTGTTTAGTTATTCTAAAAAGGAGCTTTCTATAATTACTATTAATAGTCTATACACTGTAAAAACTGATGTGTTAAATTCAACATTTCATGTGTCCCAAATCATCCACTCTCATTTATGTGTAAATTTAACACAAAACAAATGTGCTAAAAAGTAACACGCATAATATGTGAAAAATTAACACTAGAATTTAACACTCGAATACCGTCAGGAATTACAGTTTGTGTTAAACTGACATATGTATAATGTTAAACTAAAATAAAACGTTACTTTAACATTTGAGAGAAGTATTAATCTATGATTTTGATGAAATGAAAATGTTAAATTGACATAATCTATGTCTGACATATTAAATATGTTAATTTAACACAATCTGTGATTCCTAACGGTATTCAAGTATTAAATTCTTGTGTTAATTTTTTCCATATTATGCGTGTTACTTTTTAACACGTTTGTTTTGTGTTAAATTTACACATAAATGAGAGTGGATGATTTGGGACACATGAAATATGTTAAATTTAACACATCAGTTTTCACAGTGTATCTATATCCTGAGAGAGAAAAATCGAAGAAAGAAAAGATATTTATTCGGTGGATACTAACGTATTTACTTATATTAATATAAAATATTTTCCAATAAAGAAATATACATTTCTTTTTAAACTTAGGTTCTCATGAAAAATTTAGTTGTGAGTGAGTATACTCTATCAGTACCCACCGTATAAATGTTTTGTTTATTTCTTGGGTATCTTTCTCTTTATGTTTGTATCTTAGAATATCTACGAGACTATTTTGCAAATTATAATTTCTCCAATAGACTAATCAGCGTGAGATTATCTCGCGCTTGTTGAAGTCACCGATTTCTTTTTTTTCTCGTTATAGGATAAATCATTGGACGAATCCGCAAGAAGACCCGAATTTACCGTCGACGTTGGAAATGCCCGGATTTCCGTCCAACGAAACCCCAAGCGCCGCCAAGGAATTACCTAAGCCTATTAAATCGAGGAGTCGCGCTACTTAAAAGTTCCGCGCTTCTTAATTCGTCCGTCGGTACGTTCCCGGATGAAATTGCTGGAAGGTTCCCTGCGAATGCCATCCACTTTTCGTCGAGTATCGCCGCTGCGCGCTCGCTACGCGTTCGCGAAAGCGCGGGGAATGCTGAATCGGACGTAAGCGGAGCGTTACGAAGAATTTGTTGATGTTTTAGACCTCGTTCGCTCTTATTTGAGAAACCTAAGTAAATATACATTGACGCGCGCGCTTGTTAAATCGCCTACATGAGCCTAGTTGCGCCAAGTTTCCGAGGAACTTGCATTCCGCACTTTTACGTGAAGTAACGAGCGTGTCGCACTTTTACGAGTACTCATTTTCTCGTCATCTCGACGCGCGATAGATCAGCCGACGACTAATTCACTGAATTCGCGTAATCGCCAGGTGGAGCGAAAGGAATTCACTCTGGATTACCGCATCGGACGATCTGATCGCACGGCCGACAAACCATTAATCCGGTGACGTGAATAAGTGCCCGAGAAAGTACGGAGGCACGCGTCAAACGAAAGAATACCTAATCGCGTTATTACGTGCTTGAAGAGTGGCGTGAAAGGTAAGGCAGTTTTTTAAAGCGTCATAACCCGAAAGGGGCATACGCTGTATGCCTGGGATTAGCGTGTACTATTTTTAGCAGCGGTTTTCGTGGCATTACACTCCTCTCCCGTACTGTGCTTGCAGCTTTATGCCTCAGCTATCATAAAGCAGCACCGCTATCGATTAAATGTCAGCACCATTAATATTAACGAAATGCATTCCGTAGCATTAGCACGATTGTTACGTTATCACGTAGGCGCATTTTATATTTATTTTGCGAACACAGACACGAGTTAGAATCCGCGCGAGCGAAACAAAACGTATTATGCGAATGGGTAGCTGGGTATTTGATAAATATAGCGCTTATCGTACCGTACCGTACCGTATCTCAAGTTGCTTATCGGGGTTTAGATTTATAGACTGATTCATCAACATTCGAAAGCATCTGTATCAACGGTATATAGATTTGATCACTCGCAATTTAAATACAGTATAACGACTGATGCGTAATCTACGTACTTAGCACTTTTAATCGATGTAGTACATCATTTAATCCGTATTAATCGATGTACATTACGTAACCGAAATAAAGGTTCGTCAAATGTTTCACGACAGACGAATAATTTGTAAGAGACGAAGGATTCCAACTATACTAGATCTCTGAAACGCGATAGTATCCCCAACAAATATGCGAAATACGACATTAACGTGGCTGCATAGAGAAAAAAGAGACATTCTCTTTCAAAAGATATCTTTATTTCTGACATGTTAATCTGCAAGTGAGATTACGTAACGTTGAATAAAGATAAGTTACTTGCAAGAATACATTTTATATGATTCAACGAAGAAGCATCCGTTCTTGTTACAATTCAACGAAAAAAAATTGTTTTAATTATTCAAAGATTTTCAAATTTTTATTCATGGAAAACACAAAATACTCGACTAAGAATACAATGTTTTTAAGTAGAGATATGTAAAAGAGAATATCCTCTTTTCTACGTATCATCGTTAAAAAAAGCGATTTTTGTAACGGAAAATAAAAATGCAACGCATACGTCGAGTGCCAGAAAAGTTATCGAATTCTGATATTTACCACCGAGATTTACAGCCTCGGTGCATACTTCAATCCGTCCGTAATAAATTCAAGGGCCGCTGTATTTAAATCTGTTTTCCTCTCCGTCGGTCTCACAAGAACAGAATATAATATAAGTCTCAATTCTTTCAAAATATATACGCGCCTCGGGATTCATTTTGTTCGCCATAAATTTTAAATCGAAATGCACTTTGCCAGCAAGATTTATGGCCAGTTGCTCGCGCGAACACCAGATGAGGTTGTTCGGATTTATAGGAATCGGTGAAACTTATTCTTGCAGAGAGCGAGAGATACGAGGAGAGAAAGGGTAGGGGCAAAATCAATATATGTATCGGCGAAAAGCGCGAAAGAAGATCGCGGAATTGGTGTGCAGAATGTGCGAAATGTTTTTTCTAAACTTCTGCATGCTGAGAAAATGCGAAAAACTCGGTCAAATATGAAAGTGGAGTAGCACTTGGAGAGAAAAAACAAACTCCGATTTCATTCAACTTTTATTCCATTTTCTTTGAGATCCGCCGACCTTTCCGCTTTCAACGGAACCTTTATTCGAACTCGCCGCGGGTTTTCGGGTCGCTGCGGCAAAAGGCAACGGCCCTCGCGTGATAGAAATGCACTTTTCGATGTCGTGAAGTCGTGACCCCGATTTTGCCGCACATTCTGCACCACTCGAATTCGGCGCGATGAGAAACGACGCGCACCGGGGACTTGGGTTGACCAAACAAAATCGCTCTTATCGTGCTCTCGAGATCTAATCGATGAACGGCATGCTTACAACCGACGTGGCTTCAGCGAGCGTTCCTCTTATCGCGAGCAAAACGATATCAATTGTTTAACGTCAGTATTTTTCTCAGAGGAATTCAGAGGAAATGGTACTACTAATAAGAATTGTGTCTCCTTATCTCAACCTCTCGATTCTCAATTTATACCTCTCTTATTGTTTATGTTATGAAGCGCAATAAAATAAAACATACAGACTGAAGGAGTCCGTTGGTCATAATTTTGTCGAGACGAAATAGCGAATTTTTATTGACTTTCTTTAATTTCATTTTCAGGCTACATCGCGAAAGTACCTTTTATTCAACTGATTTGCTACGGAAATGATTATCTCTGTTTTATCGCTAATACGAATAACAAGCTCACATTGCAATCAGTCGACCACAGGATTTATCCGTTAGAGCTCTATTTCCCGGAAAAGAAAAGTAGGCGTTGCACACAGAGCTGAGACCAAGTCCCGTTGAATGTAGATGATGAAAGTCTTAAAAAGAAGCGCTCAAATAAACGCAAGCGTCACGGTCATAAAACGCATGACGCAATCGTCTTTGTAAGACGATTCCAGCAGCATTATCGTACGTGATTCTCACGGTAATCTTTCACGATGATGATCACGACACGCAACGAGTTCGCTTTCCCTCAACGTGGCGCTTCGCCGTTACGCCGAAGAAAACGTAACGCTTACGCGTAAAAAGCTGCCATTGACATCGTGACAGCAAAATATTTTTTTTACAATAACGCTAAATATTAAGAATTGCGCGCATGCACCGAGAGAGAAAACGTCGACACGAAGAAAAATAATTTGCTGGCTCAGCAAATTTTCTGCTGGTCTAGCAAAATATTTTTGTTATTATATGGACAGTAAAAAGATTTGCTAAGAGTACACTATTTGCTGGATATAATTTGCTGAATCTATAAATTATTTTGTTATAAGAACCATGATGAATTTATAAGCAGTTGCAGTTTTGCTCCAATAGCAAATAAATTTGCCAAGGATACATTATTTTGCATCAATAGTAAATTAACGTGATTCTTAGGACAAATACACTCAACAAATTTTTTCTATCCTGGCAACGAGATTACTTCTGCTCTGATAACGAATAATTTGTAAAATTAGTTACGTCAACTAAATTTTTTTGATGTCACTACAAATATGCAGTAGCAACGACAATTTTACTAAAAGAGCAAAATTATTTTTCTCCGTGTAAGAATTAAAAGACATTTATTCGGTGAGCGTGCCAGTAATATTCTGGAAACAGCACAATCTACTAAAAATGTATCAAGGACGTCCAAACGACGTTTTCTTTTTTTTAGAAATAATCTCTTGGACGTCTTTAAGACATTTCTTAGTATTGCCTGGGATATTTACTTGTACTAATATAAAAAATACTTTTCAAATAAGAAATTTGCGTTTAAATAAGAAATTTGCGTTTTCTCAAAGATTTAACTTTTCATAGATGTAATTTTTGTTTATTTTACTTAAATAAGAGAAGTTAGATTTAATCTTTAGAACCACCGTGTGAAACGCTAGTATCCTACCCATCTTTTCTTTATTTTTAGTCATTTTAATTAACTTATCGGCAAACTCATTAGACTATTAGTACTCACCGAGTAAAAATATTTGTTAATTTTCAAGTATTTTTTCTCTCAGTGTATGTGTATGCATAATACACACTACTCACCCTTCGATGTCTTCCTCTACTTCCTACGTTTCCTTCATACCAGCGGCCTCACGTCGTCTCAGAGAGAAACGTATCTTTGCACGGGAGGCGTAGCCTGACCTCTCCAGCAAACTGTCGTTTTTCTTCCAAAACGCGTCGATTTCCGTCGTCCCGGACGAGATGCTGAATGCATTTCCCGTGTCACCTACAAGAACGTTCTGTTCATGTACGCCATTTTTCAAATGTCCCACGAAAGGTGCACACGTAAATCATAAAACTTCCGTGAAGTAAAAGTTATATCCCAACGTACGCGATACACGAGAATATTTTGTTCACGATTGACTCTACATCGATATATGTATTTACGCCTTTGAAGTTAGTCATTCGTGTATCTATCTTTGAATTCAATCTTTCGTCGGGATGCACACGAAAGCGACGAGACTTTGATCAATTTCTCAATCTCTCTCTCTCTCCCCCCTCTCGCCATATTTGTTTCGTTCGCGAGCGAGATCCAGACTTAATTCGCCGATCGACGTCTCGCCATGAAATCGACGATGAGATCGCCATGAGATCGTGAAATTCCTGTTTCCTCCCACCCGGCTCGTCCATTTAACGAAAATTTTCGAAAATCCTTTGTGATGCCGCTCATAACGAGCTTTGGTCAATTTCTTAGTCTCCCCCTCCTGCTATACCCGTTTCATTCGCGAGTGAGATTCGAACTTTGCCTATTCGATCGACGTCTCGCATGGATCGCTGACACGGTCGCAAAATTCTTACCTTATCCAAATGCATCCTATCTAACGACGATATCGTGTACGTGCTGTGAGTGACTTCGCGCGGAAAACATCTTCGTCGACGGGATGAAACGACGAGCTCTTAAGCGCGCGCCTGCTTCATAACCGTCTCGGCCCGGGACATGGCGCTAAAATAGCGGAACGGATGGACACGGACCATTTCCTCCGTTCCGCCATCCCCCGTTCCTTGAGCAGTGGACCGGCCGATAATCAAATCTGCGGAAGGTATCTGTTTCGTCTCGGCTCATTTAACTCTAACAGGTAGTGCCAAGTGTCATAACAAGAATACACTATTGCACAATTAGTCGTCGCAATTGCGTATGATTACGCAGTCACAAGATATGTCTTATTCATACTAACATGTAATCTCATCGCCGTTAACTTCACTTACTAACTTTGTTTACAAGCGACGTCCGTTACTTCCAGTCTAACCTTGCTCATCTCTTTCACATACAATCGATTGGTTTCGTTTCTTTCCCAGGTAAAATTGACATTACTGAGTGAGGGATTCGATTCAACTCGACTCTGATCGACGAGACTCAACTCCCGCTTGTCTGGAAAGTATTCGTGTTCCGATTGTCAGTGTTCGTCTGAACTCTCGCAGAGTCTGGTGCGAGCGATTGGCATGTCGCCGCGAACGTATTGACCGTCCCAAAGAAGGATCGGTCGAGGAAGACGCGACGCGTCGCGACGTAAAAACGCTCACCTTTCGAGAGAGCAGCATTCGGCAAGATCCTGCAAGCAAACCTCGCACTCGCTGCTCGACGCGACGCCCACGGCTGCTTGGGCCTGTCGCGCGGCGCCCCGTAGCGGCGCGCCGCGACATTCGCGCACGGGAACGGTTGATTGGCGCGCCGCGGTGGTCCGATTCCGGCGTTCCGTGCCGCCGACGGTGACGCTACGGCGAGAGGGTCGAGAACGAGATAGGCAGTCGGTAGCGACGCGTCCCAGGCGCGAGTCGCTGCACAATGTATCTCGCGGGATCTCGCAGGCCAACGGCCAACGCCGTCACGGTCCCGGTGCTGCTTCTACGAGTATGGCTCGTGTCGCTCGTGTTCGTGTGGTGCCCGGTGTTCTGCCAGGAGAGCCTGACCAACCGCATGCGGACGATCAGCGAGGATTTGGACCGGCAGCTGAACGAGATAATGGCCTCGCAGGCGCTCAGCTACTCCACGGTCAACACCGCCGGGCTGCCCTACAACGCCACCACGAAGTTCAATCCGAAGGGCATGGGCCAGCTGTACAATGTGACGAACATGTTCATCGACCTGGTACAGAGCAAGCAGGCGTATCCCGCTGGTGAGTTGATCAACACATTCGTTGTCGAGACATTGACAGAGCAGCCAGCGTCCCTCTCTCTTTCTCTCTTTCTCCCTTTCTCTCTCTCTTTCTCTCTCTTTCTTTCCGTCTTCGTCTGTCGCCCTCTCGCTCGCGGCGGAACGTCATGGGGTTTTCAGGGTTAGGATATGGCGTGAAGTTTGGCGCCCTGCGTACGATGGTTACGCCCTACGTGCGTGCACACACGTAATGTTAGTCCGTTAGTTTAGTACGCTACACGTTTGGAAAAATGGCCGGTCGCTTGTTGGTAAACAGAGACGGCTATCAAAAACGCGCGAGAGCACGAAACGGCCGGACGCGTTTCGCACATAATCAAGCGTGCATAACATTCGCTCCGGAGCGCGTCACGGTAGATCTTATCGCTTCTTATCCGGAGCGTGCGGATATGTATCGGAATGTATTTTCAGCCATGTCGAGCCGAGCGTGTCCCTTCCGATGAAACGCGCGTCGTACGTCAGGCGAGAAAGTTATCATAATTGTCATCATTAAAACTCGTTTACCGAAATATGCGCTCGTGATGAGCGAGTCGTCTCGGTGGAACGACAAATACCGCGGGGAATCATTGCGCTGGAGGAATTTTAGCTCGTAGCTGTTGGCCGACCCTGGGAAGCACCGACGAATCGCGAGAGAATCGCAATTTCGGGGCATTTACTAATGAACTCCGTTATTTTAGGAGGCTATTTAGGAGCGGACGCGAGTCTGTTGCGTGCGCGAGGTCGACGAATTACGCGCGAAGGTCGCTCAATCGAACGATATGAAGTCGTGACATCACATCACTAGATCATGCCAACTGATTCGCTTCAAAACGCTCTAATGTGACACGTGTCCTTCCCTAAGTTGGAGTCTTCTTCGGATGTGTTTATATCTCAAAGAGAGAGAGAGAGAGAGAGAGAGAGAAAGAGAGAGTCAATGTTTGTTTGACGCAATTTTGATGAGTTTGTATCATTTGGTGTTAATAGACACAATTTGCGGATATTTATGAATACTTAGAAGCACTTAAAAAAAGAAAGTGTAAAATTAACTCGTGACTCTAGCCAACGATTCCATATTTCTCGCGGATTACGATATTATTTACGACGCAGACAGGGAGAAAGAGAAGGGAGAAGGGGGATCCAGAGAGAATCAGAATTAGCGCTAAGTGTAGTCGCGCTGCAACTGATCTCCTCCGAAGCGGTGAACGGAGAGACTGCGGTCGTGTTTATGGTCTTCTCGCGAATACGACGTGCAACAAGAAAGGGAAAATAGCATTTCATATTTCGCGAGAACCTCGGCGAAAACCCGCGTCTGCGCATTCGCTTTTGCATCAAGCGAGTTCGTCGTCGCTCGTTCCATTATTGTTATACGAATGTTTATTATCGAATTAGATTAATTCGAATTGCGCGTGTGTGTGGTGCATGCTGTTTCCCCACGTAAATTGTCAGAAAAAGCTCTCCTTGGCGCACGTTCCACCTGTAACTTTCGCGGAAAATGAAAAACCAGATCGAGAGAAAGTTAATCGCGTCCGATCAAACGCGAATTAACTCTCCCATTCATTTCTGCGCAAAAGCAAAAGAGGGATTTGAAGTACGAATTCGTGTCTTTCACAATGTTCTCGCCGACGCGAGTCACGGGATTTGCCCGACTCGCGCGAAGTCGTGACGACGTCCTCTTGCTTTTCTCTCTCCACAAAATGTTTCCTACTCACGTACGAGATCACCAACGACGAGATTATTATCCCGAATTATATACTGGGCTAAAATCAATATTGATTTGGTAAATTCAATACATATCCGCCTTCATGCAAGCCGCCTTTTGTTCCGTCATAATTGAATTTATGTGACTGCGTTTTTATTCTTTAGTAACTCGAGACTCGCTTGCAATGAGCGGGAATGAAGCATGCGCAATTTTTTACGTCAAAATAAATTCCCAACGGTTAAAGGACTTTGCGCGTGATTCATTTAGCCGGGATTTTTTATTTTATCTACTTTTTTAAAGATTACCATTATTTTACCTACTTTTTTCAAGATTTTCTAAATATATATGTACACATATATATATGTGTATATATATATATATATATATATATATATATATATATATATATATATATATATATATATATATATATATATATATATATATATATATATATATATATATATATATATATATATATATATATATATATATATATATATATATATATATATATATATATATATATATATATATATATATATATATATATATATATATATATATATATATATATATATATATATATATATATATATATATATATATATATATATATATATATATATATATATATATATATATATATATATATATATATATATATATATATATATATATATATATATATATATATATATATATATATATATATATATATATATGCACGCACGCACGCACGCACACACACACACACACACACACACACACACACACACACACACATGTGTACACATATATAACTTTATATCTCTTATTATATTATTACTGTGATTTCATTTAACTTAGAGGTTGCCTTTACATTTAAGTAAGATAAGACTCTTTAATTCTCCCACGTAGTGTTATCGTAATATATATCGCAAGTATACATAGATACATACGCAAATAGAATTTTGTGACTGAGGAATCGATCGATATTCTGCATTAATAGACTATTTTTACGTTATTAGAAACATGGTGAAATTAAGAAGAATTTATATATAAAAAAGAAACCATAACATTCTGTTCGTGCATAGATGAGCAGTCGCCAAATTCGGCACTCAACACCAGCTTCAAAATTCCCCTCTCGTCCGCTCGCTATTCGCGCGATAATCTTGGAAAGCATGGAGCTACGTTTTTGAGTACTCCGTTCCACGTTATTGAGTACTCCGTTCTTTTTGCACGTGGCTCGCAGCAACGATCTCGCTTGTAGATAATATTAGCAATCCAATCCTGCGGCTGGTTGCGCGGAAAGAGCAGGGAAAATTCGCGCTAACATTGACGGTAGGCAAACGCTTTTCCCAGCATGAGGTAGTGCGTTTAAAAACGCCGATAACTCTGTGAACTACGCGGATCATTGACCCTCCAGGCGCAATAACGTGTAGGAGCCTGTGTGTATCGCGTCTAGCAGGAAGTTGATAGTGAGAGAGCACGTCATCGTTCAGAAGCGAGAGGAGGCTACACTGATCATACTCGAGTTTCCTCTCCACCACGTTCTCTCGTCACTCATGGCCTGTTGCCGACTTTCGTTAGGACGACGGATTAATCGCGTCGAGATCCTATTTTCGAGGATCTGGTCCGACATTAAATTCTCAAAGCGTTCTGTGTCTTCCTATATCGACACGCTGATATCGACGACTAAATTTAACCGATGCTTCTTCTTTAATCTAATATCAACCAGCATACACGGGGAAAATACTTACAAGTAAATCTATCCAAAAGGTACATTCCGATTTCTTTCTAATTTGGCACAAATGTGAAAAAAAATGTACAAAAAATATTTAAATCATATTTTTTCATTTTCGTCCACTTTGAGTTTCACGGGCAGTTTATAACTTTTTAGCCCGTGAAACTCAAAGTGGACCAAAATGAAAAAATATAGCCTAAATATTTTTTATACTTCTACATTTGCACCAAATTAGAAAAAAATCGGAGTGTAACTTTTTGGTAGGTTCACTTGGTAGTTGAATGAATGAACTGACAATGAATGAACTAAATGCGTTTTGGTTGAAGGAAACAGAATTTTTGGTTAATAAGAATTTGTTTGTAAAATGAGAATAATAATATAGGAATAAAGATATAAAAATAAATTTTTTGTTAATAAGAAACATAAGAATTTTTTCTGTGTCATGAATTGAGAGAAAAATATCTAAAAAATAAAAAAAATATTTTTGATTTAAGTCTAAACTTCTTTTATTTAAATAAAATAACAATCGTTTTTACATAATTCGCTTAAATATTTGTTCTCTCATTGTAGAAAATTACTAAACGAAAGAATTATTTCTAAAAAAATACTTCTTATAAATTAGAAATTCTGTTTTCTTCAGGCGAAATTGCATTTAATTAGACCCGAGAAAAGAGACGACATTGCACACACTCTAAGTGCACCAATTCCCGGACAAGTACCCAATCCCGGACATTCTTATTGTTTTAGTCTCTGAACATAAATATTTACACTTTCAACATAGAAAATATACATGCATTTAACTCTGAAACCCTAAATATGGGTAAAGTTTGCTACCTTTTCAAACTTGATTACTTTAACTTAATTGTCTTAAAAACACGTGTTTTGTTTACTAATTATAACTTTGGCGCCAGATATTTAATTGTTAATTTTCTTTGCTAAAATTGATTTTAAATTAATGTAACGTTGATATATTTAATTCGTACATATTGTCAGGTTGAGATTTAAACTTTTTTTTTCTTCGTGTAGTTCAACAGTCAAGCGTTGTAATCGACATTGAAAACGTATATAATTTTGTACAATTATTCTGCGCTCGCGTTATGCCACCTTGATTTCGACGTTACGAAAGGAAGGATATAAGCTTTGAAGGTTATATGAGGCGTTTCGCAATATTCTGCGGACGGTTAATGCTGCTTAAATGAATTCTCGTCCCCTCACGACGCCTGCTTGATTTATTTTCGAGATCCGCTCGAAAGCAGGTCGAAAGTGCTGATGGACCTGTCCGCGACCGAATATATTTGCGTTCTCGCGTCCTCTCTAACGTCACCGACGAAATATCGCGATTCCGCTGTTTCGGATACAGACTTCCGTTCAGGGGCGTCCCGAGTTAAATCCTGAGCCATATCCACGCAGGGATTTATTAGACCCGAGAAAAGAGACGACATTGCACACACTCTAAGTGCACCAATTCCCGGACAAGTACCCAATCCCGGACATTCTTATTGTTTTAGTCTCTGAACATAAATATTTACACTTTCAACATAGAAAATATACATGCATTTAA